CCAAGAAGACTTGAGGGCTGCTGACACATCCACCATTTCATGCATACATATTTGCTTTGCAGATACTTTGCAGCCGCAGCTGTTCAGTCTCCTTTTCGGATAAAAGACAAAACAAATCGCTTCCTTTCCCAGCGGATGCACACCTGAAAGGCGGCGCCGGCCCGGCTCAGCGTGCACCCGTGGAGGCTCAATTGTGGCATCCGTGGCTTCAAGATCTGGCCTGTTGGCCGAAAAAGGCACAACATCTGACGTCGCCTGTCTAGAGCACTGCAGAGAGCAGGGAACAAATCATCTCCAAGTGAATCAAATCCCAAACTTCCTCACCTGCGAACCACTCTTCAAGAGCCCATTATCTGAAGAAATCATGTCTTAGCGAAAATACTGTCAATTTTGACCTATATGACTTCTTCATCGTCACACACAGAAGTGGTGCACTGCGACACATGTCTCCTGGGCGCCCGGACAGAAGCGTCTCGCTTGCAGCTCTTGGGTCAGAAGGAACGTTCGGTACAAACGGGTCTGGCAGACAAGTTGACACAAGAAGTGGGTGTTCAAAGATGGTTGGGTTTGGGACCCCATCAACCATCTCATGAGAAGGCAAAGTATAGCTGATTTATATAAGGGCTACACAACACAGCTGGCCAACGGTATGATTGAAAGAACGCAGTTTTTCCCGATCCTTCCAACGATATGATTCTTTGTAGACGCGTGTTGCATACATTACACGACTTGTTGTTGCTCAAGTGAAGAAACTGTGCAGACAAACTACAAACAAAAAGAATGTTAGCGATGCTAAATGTACATGCTAGCATTTTAAACACAACTGCCTCCAGTTTTTGCTGCAGGACACATAGATAGAAAAGTAGATCCTACGATCGTTTTGGAAACCGTTTGTAGGGGATCACTATAAAGAGTATTGCAAACCTTTCTCTGAATCTGCACCGCATGCACCTGATAAACGGCCCGATGGGCTCGGCGCATCTGTTGCATCTGGCCTGAGCAAAAGGAGCGCTCAGAGGCTGTCAGTGCTCAAACACATCGGCACGACATGTTTTTTCGAAATTCCTGTGTTGAACCCTTCTGTTCGACCGCTGATCTTGTGAGGTCACCGAACGCACGCTTCGACGTGTGCGTTTCTCAACGCTCGCACCCACATGATCAAGCAATCCACCTGCAATCCTCTGAAATGAAACGCGCGAAACGCACGACACGCACGACACGCACGAATCCGTGACATGGAACACAAGCTCTATGGCAGTCTTCAGGTCTATGGCCTTCGCACCATTTTGCACCGCACGAGGTTGCTTATGACTTTTGGAGATGTGGCGTGTTGTTATACGGTACAGGCGCAGCATTTGTGATGTTGCTGTGCCACTGGCATTTGTGTTTCCAGGTGAATTTGGGCGCTGTATTTCTTTTGCAGGGCTTGCTTAGGAGCAGTGCTTTTCGCGAAAAGTCTGGGCTAAAGTTGTGAGGCAATGTGGATTATGGTTATAAGCAGCAACAGTGTGGAAATCACGTTTGCATGCTATTTCCGCAGGAATCTCACACTTCCTCGATCCCTCCAAGAGCTCCTCCAAAAGTTCTCTTAAAGGGAGGGCCATAACCACGCCGTTGCGATCGGGTTTTTCGTCCGTCCGATTGAAGATCATGTCCTCCACCCCTGGAAACCTAGTCCCAACCAGAAAAGAGAGAGAGTTCTGGATGGAACGAAACCTAGTCCCCATGTCCGATGTGTGGATCTCAAGCTGGCGCCAGACTGGGTTCGGTATCCAACCAGAACTGTTTCTGGAGGTTCCAGGTATGGACATGATGTCAGTTATACTGGTTGAGCCGCTCGGAGCGGGTTCCCCAGTTCCACCGTGCGGTTCCACTGTGTGACACCACTCACCGCTGGGGCCCCCAGACAGTATGCTGCTTTCGTCGAAGCAGAATGGGCTGCGTGCCGCGCGTGCTGCGCGTGCTTGGCATCTCCTTGTGGAGGGGCCAGCCTGCCAATCAAGGAATCTTTGCAGCCTGGTGTTGGATGGAGCTTATCCTGCTACAAGGTCATTCTCCCGCAGAGCAGTTCCGGAAAAGTGATGTTTTATGTTGATCGAAACTCGGAAATCTCTCGTTGCACCTTCATTTGAGAATGAAAGGCGTCTCTCAAAGTCCTCTTGCACAAAGGATGAAGCACTACCCCGTGCTTGAGAATCGCTTCTCCTTTTTCAGACAAACTCATCCTTGCCTCAGGGTCAACCAGTTGCGGCTCCCGCTTCGCCGCCAGGTGCTCGACTGTGGCATTCAGGCGCTCGACTTGTGCCATGAGCCCATGAACTTGCGCGACAGTGGCCACCTGAGAACCAGTCACGTCGAGAAGACTAATCCGGTGGAGACAACAATCCTGGGACCTGCGCCCCGGCCCGTGTTAAATTTCAGTCTCTCCTTTACACACGCTTTTGTTGAGAGTACAAAAGAATATGCCTTCCCCCACGTACGGCCGAGCTGTCCCCACAGTCTCTGCTTGATCCGTTTATTCAAAAGCTTACACCATACAGTATATAGTATCCCTAGACATCCCTGGATGCTATGAAGGATTGACAACATAGAAAGCACTGTTTGTTGCTATTGCGGTAAGAAGAAGAGTTTGCGCGTTTCCAACGACATGTTTTCTCGAAGCATCGAACATCAAAGAAAGCTGCTACTAGTAGCTTGCTTTGAAAGCATCCAATCCGAGAAATCAATCTTGTAAAATGTGGTACATCTCCTGAGCACCCTTTTCTTCCGGCTTTTTCACCAGGTGGACACCGATCAATTCCGTAACCCTGCCTCACCCGGGTGCTGCGGCAACCGCTTCCCGCAGCGTTCCGCCTCGACGCGCGACCAAAGTAGACCGGTGGGACCGTGGAAGACATCCGAAGTGCTTCGCTGCGCCTTTCGAAGAGACCAACGCCCCCCGAGCTTTCTGGGGGATCCAGCGCCTTTCATTGGGTATATCCCATTACCAGGGCCTCAGTGGATGATGGTTAGTAAAGGCCTTTCTCAAAAATAGTGATGATCTTTTGCCGACTGTTACTGGTATGGGCTACACTGTCACCCTAGCATTTGTATATAACTAGCCGGCTATATATATATATATATAGTTGTATAGTTATATCCAACTTACAATCTGTGTGGACCAGGTCTGTGGCAAATCATGCCAATGAAATGTGTTCGACTCCAGATAATACATTAGATGAGTCATGAGAATCTACACTCTCTGCATTTAACTTGAGATGAAAACTTTCCGTGCTACGCTGAATGCAATATGTGCATAATTACAGTACATCCGATGTTTTTAGCCCACGAAGCCACGAATACTGAGTTCCTTCCACGTGAACCTCGGTCATGCGGCTGTGTAGTTTGCTGACCCCGGCGTGCACAACATTTGCGCACCCACACCCACGTTTGGAATTTCGAAGCTCCGAGTTTGGACATGAGGTGGTCCACAAGCAAAACGCTGATGAAAAGATATGCAAAGGCTAACTGACTTGTACCAGCATGCCAACGAGTTAGCTTGCATGGTAAACACTTCGAGGGACTGGGACGAACTCGATGCACCTGGGGGTTGAAGTGCTGGCAAGTACTGCACTCACTGGACGTGCTCACATGTTTGCGCAAATGACTAAAATGCGGTTGGTGAAAAAGAGTGCTGAATAGGAAGGTTGATGTTCATGCAGTTTTGTAAATGCGCTGAAAACATTCTTGCCACCTCTTCGGCACATGAACCAGTTTTTGTTGCTATTAGGAACCCCCCACGCATCCATTTAAGTGATGCACAAAAACGTCCAATAAATCAGCTGCTGCGCCTCAGGTTGAAGCTGCTCCTGAACCTTCTCCGCTCTCGCCTGCGCCAAGCAAACACAGTGCGCACCAAAGTCACGTTGTGCGAAATCGGTAGAAGCTTCGCATCGAAAAGGACATCGAAAAGGACATCGTTGTCCAGTGTCAGACGTCCGCAAATGAGGTACCGGTCCATCTTTGTTTTTTCATGGTCGAGTCTACAAAGTGCCAACTGTGGACGATGCCAGAATCTAAGGCTGTTTGAAACGCTGACACTGACACCCACTTAAAATCACAAAAGAACTCTTAAGCATTCTACCTCACTGATGGTCCTCGTTCACACACTCGAGAACCCTCTTCAACGCCCCCCCCAAACGCCAAACGCCTTTGACGCCTTTGACGCCTTTGGTGTGTCTGGCGCCTCGATCAGTGCAGCATGTTGCATGAATTCATGAGTGATACTATATATATATATATCATGCGTTGGCAAACGAATTCATGATATAATATCAGCTTGCAAACTGTTCAGAGTTAGAAACTCATTCTTCGCCCCGAAGAGTTTTGTATGTTTCAGGGTTGTTCGCCATGCGTTTTGGTCCGAAAGTTCAAAAAAAGGCTCGAGTGTTGTTCGCCACGTTCAGGGTAGTATAGGATTCCACTGTTGATTTCACCCGCTGTTGGCTTCCACTGCAGCATGTTGCAAACTCGTCGACTCGTCTAAATTCGACTTGCGCCACAGAAATCGAAGATGAGATCTGGGCGCTGCTCCCCCGGACCACACCCCTTGATACACCTAGTATCGGGTATGAAGGGAATGAAAAGTAAACATATCAGTAATGTATTATATCATATCAATTTGATATCAATATGAATAGGTTGGAGGAGACATATATATATATGTGTGTATTTGTATATGATTTGGTGCCATCGACATAGGACTCCTAGGACGTCGACAGGACCAGTCACCTGTGGTCAGCCGGGCCGTCGACAGGACCCCACCAACCGTCTTGAAGTGTCACCGAAACCGACACCACCAAAGCACAAAGCACAAAGAATCCTTAGGCCCCCCGAAAAAGATACACCAATCCAGGACCCTCCAGGATTCAGAACGGGTGATGTGGCCGCACTTATCCGCACTTCTCGAGCCCTGACAAGGCGGCCAAGCATCTGTGGCGTCCTCGGCCAGTGGCAACTTGTGTGCAGCTCTGCCACGTCCACGCTCCTGCTCAAGCTCCTCCCAATTGGTATTGATTGGTATTAGGACAGATCTTCCAAGAACTGGCAAGAATCATTCCACTATGACCTCTTCAGGCCCTTTTTGTAGCTTGCAGACGTAGTACCTGTGACTCATGAGACGATCGTTGAATGCACAACGGGTTACGGCAGTGACTGGTGGGTTTGCCGATCCCATCTCCCTATCTCCCACGTCCTGCAGAAGGCCTCGTGCGAAGCCAAGGCGAGCCGCGCTTTCGCGCACGCGTTCTCGACGCCGTCGTCTTTTTTTGACCAATCCCTTCTTCCGTCTGGCTGACCGGCCTGCGTTTGAGCCGTTTACGCAACATGAAGCACACGGGACCTCGTGGGACCACCATCCATATCCGTCCACCATCCACTCCGGCAGTGGCTTTGCATTTCTCCCCCTTTTGCAGAGTATCCACCCAGGCCGGTGCAACCAAGTCTCGCATCTCCGAATCCTGCATCTCTTGCTGCTGTGACCCCGAAATCCGGAACTCTGACATCCGGCTGGTGACTTTTGAGGTGAAGAGGGGCATCTTCGAAGGACAGATGTGCATGATCTTTGAAGAACTGCCATTCCAGATGCTGTCTACCCTCCTATCATGGGATAAATGTTGACTCTAACTGTCCAATGTGAATGGCAAACTTTGCACAAAAATATGTGCTCACTTCGTTGCTGTGGCATTGATTGGCTATGTCGGCTACACGATTTTGAGCGCATCTGAAGGCAAGTCAGCCTTCTGAGATCCCGCTCATCCTGTCGACCAAATGTTGCACATACATTCCCTCTATTATACATCTCAAGGTTCTCAAGGGGAGCATAAACCTCAGAAAAGTATACGTTGTCTTTTCTTTCCAGAGATTTTGATGTGTAGCTTGTTCATCTTGTTCTGACCATTCCTCCATTCCATGCTCCGACCATTCCGACCATCTCACATCCTCTCACCATACCTCCACCCGTCGCGTCGCGTCGCCCGAAAAAACCCGGCGGAATGGTCCACCCCGAGGAGCGGGATGCTCCCCGTGGTCCTTGATCTGCTGTTCCTTCAGTGCCAGCTTTTCAGACTCCCTCTTCAAAGCCTGGGAGAGCTCCTGCAGGCACGTCCCGTCCAATCGAGCTCCGAATTGAAATCTGAGTGTGCTGACCTGGCAATACTACCCACCATGCTGACCCAGTGTCCAAAACAACACCAACCTCCACCTCAGCATCTGTCCAAACCCCGCAACCGCAACCGGGTCAATGGCGCCTCCAGCTTCGCTGACCTGAAAAACGCCGGAAACCACGCAAAGGGTCGCGAAGGTGTACCACTGCGAACGTCAAAGGTTTGCGAACGAAACAGGCCAGTTAAAGAGTGCTTGCATCTGCGTTTATTCGCAAAAACTGCGCATCTGCTGTCTGTTTCTTCTGGGGCTTCCGAACTGCCTTTGGATTTCTTGATCTTTGGCAAAAGCTTCTCGCCTGGTCTTGTTGCGCAAGTTCAACGAATCGAGAAGGGGCTGACTTGAAGCACGGAATCGTGGGAAGATGGCGCCGCATGAGCACCAGTGGAAGTAACTCCTTAAAAAGCCCCAACTGAGCATCAGCCGGAGCATATGATACATCTTTGAGCATCCGCACTCCATCTCCTCTCGCTCCTTCTGCAGCATCGCCAACTGCCAGGGTGTGCAAGTGTATATAGATTGGGTCTATCCCGTTACCAGTAGATAACAGTGGATTTCTTTTTTGGTTAGGTTGCAGGCCTAACTCTCAAAAATCGTGATGTTCTGATTGACCGACTGTTACTGGTTTACTGGGACAGGCCCCATATATAGAGATATGGATCACGAACTCGTAGAATTGGCCATCCTATGCACTCGGCATGTCAAGCGGCGCCCCGTCGTTCGGTCGAATTCCGCTCGCCTCCCAAGCAGGGCTGAAGTAGGACCAGTTAGGAACGAGCTGACTTTGACTACTAATGGATACGAATGGTCCATGGCGATAATTCATAAACATTCATAAACCATATGTGTTTTAAATTGAAATATATATGATGATATTCTGAATGGTCTTGAATCATATTGAAACTATCTTGAAACTATCCGAGTTGTATTTCATGATCTCTCACCACATCACCTGACCCTCGCCTGGCCGCGAGTGCCCGGCGTGCCCGTCTCCAACTCCTCGGTTCGTGCCGTTCGCCGTGAAAACCTGGTCACCTGGAAACCATCTCCAAAATGTGGCCTTGGACTCCACAGAAAGGGAGTGAATGAAGAGATGAGAGCAGGAGCTCAAGCACCTTTTTGGGTCAAATACCTGGCTGCGAGCAACCTTTCGGGAGGAACTGAATCTCGACCTTGGTGCTTCTTTCTTCAGCCATTCAGAGGAAATCATGTTTCATCAACTGGCTTCTGAGTCTCAAGCAACACCGCCCCATCCACTGCATCCACTACACGGAAATCTGGCGACATCGCCGAGCGTCTGCGCGAGCTTCTGCCAGCTGTGTTCGCAGCTCATGTGCTTCCGCTCGGGCCCGGTCACGCTGCTCACGCTCAAGCTCCAGGTCCTAGCGGGAGGAGCCCACACGGATCTCTCTAGCGCCGCTTGCGAAGGACAGCGACCGAAGAGTGTAGAACCACACCTCACGAATCACAAATCGGACAGAGGGTGATGAAGTTGTGGGACAATCGCAACTAAACTGATCCACAGAGGACCGTGACCGGTTACACATTATTTGAGTCCAGGGACACACCTGCCAAACAAAATCTGAAAATAACTTTGTCTCACACTGATTGCAGTAGTATATAGCTACCAGCCACCGGTGCTTCCAAGCCAGTTGCGATCGAACCGCCGGCATCTCTGTGTGTCTCTCCTTCTGAAGCTCTTGGCGCCTTGGCAAGGCGGTCTTGGCGCAATGGGAGCAAAACGGGAGCGAAAGCGACGCCTCGGCGCTCGCGTGGGCCTCTTCCAATCAGAGTGAGACAAGAAACGACGGAGTTCGGCCGTGGAGAATGGGGAAAAAAAGAAAAACGTGGTGTGCCAAACGCACGATGCTCAGTTTGAAGCTTTTTTGGAGAATTCCAGGGATGTCTGAGTACTGTACCAAGTATGCCATAGATGTTTCTCGCTCTTTGACAAGTCTGGCTAGAAAAGGGCAGAATCCTTTGCAGTCCATAGAGTAGACACACATACTCAACACATACTCAAAGCATCTCAAAACTGGCTTTATCCATTTGGGGACCACTCAAACGACGTGACTTTCCTCTACTTTCAGCTCCTTGATCCATAGGTCAGTTACCAGGAAGTCATGTGTCCCCACGGTGGAGGCAGAAAAAATGGGCCCTTGCACTCCATCAACGCCCTGAGATCCCCTGCTGCATCTCCAACTTTTGAGCCCTCTCAGCAGCTGAGCGCCTCAGCAGTTCACGGCATCACATCCTTCCGCTCAGTGGACGAAGGACTCGTCGAAGAAGGTGTAGTGACTACATGTGACGATGCTGATGCTTATGACTCTTTTTTGGTCACGGCTGTATAGACTCAATTTGCTGTAATTGTATAAATTAGGTAGTCATCGAAGTCAACAACAGGACCTACTGTTCAGATGCAAGTCTTTTTGGACCATTTACAGCAGTAGTTTCCATCATGATCTTCGCGTTCTGCAGCAGCAAAGCACATCTTTCTCTGCACGAGACAATATAACTGGAGTTCCCCGCTGGAAGTCATCGTGCTGCTTTTCCAGGGCGGCCAACTGACCAAAAGGAAACACAATATCAAGCTCAACAGGGATAGATTGGCAAGACGAAATGTGGAAGGAGAAGCAGAGAAGCAGCTCAAGGTCGAAAAGAACGTCTGACGGACACTAATATGCTCAATCTGAGAAGACTCGTTTCATCTCAAAATTCCACAAACCCTTCTTAATTTCATTCCTCACACACATGGTCAGCATAGTGTGACCCTCTCCCCGGGTCGAAAGATCTGCTTTTTACGGCCTTGGCATCAAGGTCGGCAGACGCATGTTGACCTGACGGGTTTCACCCCAACTGACAGCCACATCGGGTGCCCACGAGGCTTTTCGTTGGGCTGCTCCAAGCCTCACATGTATCTACCAGCACCTTCCAACAGGTCTCCATTGGAGGGTTGTTAGGCCCAGGTTTCAATTGGTGACCTGTTGGAAGTGCTGGTACATAAAGCCCCACTTGACTGCGCTGGTTCCCATATTTGCATGAGTCATTTGAGCCGACCCTGGGGACTTGCTGCAGCACGAGCCAGCAGCAAGATTTGGGCAGGCAATGTCAAGAGCCAGTCCGTATCCAGCAAGAAAACCACTGCCACTGCCCGGTACAGGACCTGCCGTTTTTCGGGGTTGCTCAGACCTTCCAGACAAACGGTTGCTACAGCCAATCACTCCGTTTGCTGGGCACAGCCACTGGCCCCCCCCAACCCCCTAAACCGTACTTCCAAGTCAAGCTTCTCTGGGAGTCTTTCGCAAGCTGTGCCTGGAGCAATTGCCGAAATAACTCCGACTCTGGTTCTTGTTAAGGACTCATGGGCTGGTCAAAGCATGTCGCTTTGTGATACCTCTGTTGTTTCTTTGTTAAATATACATATACATATATATATATATAGTGTGTAATCTTATATATATATATTATCTTCTATAAAGAACGTCCCAAAATGGCAGTTCTATAGCCATGGGGGAACATAGCTGGCCTTTTCATTAACATCGAACAACAAAGCACTTCACGATACACAAAATCCTTTGATCACCGCCTTCAGCAACCCTTCGATCGTTTGCGAACCTCATTCATCTGCACTTCAGTCGCCTTGGTCTGCGCTTCAGTCACCTTGGTGCAGCAAAGAGAAGGCGACCAAGGCGGCATCAACATCATTCAACATCAGTACTTGCAATCACATTTGGCCGGTGCATCCGGCCAATTCCCATTCACATCATTCAACATCAGCCAACATCAGCCCTTCTCCAAGCAGGTAAACAACCTCCCTACGGATTTGGTGCATGAGCTTCATTCCCTTCCAGCTACAGTCCGTGGTCAAGTCCGTGGTCTAGCTGAACCCAATGCCTACTTTCTCCATCTTCCTGTGCTCCTTGAGGTGACTGGCAAAACACCTTCACCCACCACAGGAGGCCCAACACTTGACCAAGCGTCTGTCGTCTTCGCTTCTGCCAGCTGTCTTCGGAGCTGGTGTGCTTCAGCTCTGCCGCGCTCAAGCTCAAGCTCCAACGCCTGAAGGAACAGGACCTTGAAGAGACCAACATGACCAACAGCCTTTCTCATCTGTCAAGGTTCCAGCAGATTTCATGGTGAAGCTAAGAGAGAAGGTGAAGGTGATGAAAGTTCTGCAAGAGCATGAAGGTGAAGGTCAGATACACTTTCATACACCTTCCAAGTTTGTGTGAGACAGCTCTCCAACAAAGGCCAGGTCGCGCCACTCCGATCCAACCATCTGTGACCCCTGGAAGCCATGCCTCAACCCCGAACGACCCCACCAGAGGTGCCTTTCCGCGACCCGCACCGGGATCACTCTGTTCGACGACGTCATACACACAACTGCCTTGCAGGTGTTTCAACTCCTCTTTCATTGCGACGCCTTGAAAGATTCCAAAAAAATGTGCTCCTATGTCCCTGCCTCAGGCTCAAAGAGTTGCAGTTGCTCCTGCAAGAGCTCCAGCTTTTCCATCAGGCCATTACTGCTCGGTGTGGTCGCCTCCTGCTCTTTATGCAAGGCATCCGCTTTCGTCCGAAGCTCCTGCTCCCAGGGCTGGCTCGATCATGATGGATCATGATTGATTGGTGCAAGGGTCAGTTGTACAAAGGAGCACGTCACCAGGGTGTGAGAATCCTTTGCGTGGATGATCTGTGATTTCTCATCACTAACAGTAGGATCTGTTCGTATCCATTTCACCAGCCAACAAAAATAGTTTCGTCCGGAAGCATCGGGAAATGATCTGTCCGGTTGTAAGGGGTTGCTGTGTGTTTTCCATCATGTGTCATATTGCTCTAAATGGCCCAAGGTCGTCAAACACACACGCAGCACACACAAACATACCTGAAGGAGTTCAAGTCCTATTTTGTTGAGCCACACCTACACCAGAACACCTTGAGTCCTAGCTCTTTGATGCACTCCCGGATCTCTGCCAGCTCTGCCGGCGCTGGAAACACCGCCGCGGGGTGGTGAAACACCCCGTGCTTGGCCGTGCAGGTGAAATACCTGTGCTCCTGGTGTACGCCGTTCGATGTGTGCGGACGTTCGGTCTCAGGTTCTCTTCATAGTGAGCCACATCTGGCTGGGATTGTCTGGAAATTCAACGGAATGTGGTATCGAACGAACATCAGCTGTCCAAGTCTATGAAGCATCGTTGAAGATGGCGAACCGTGATGTCGGCCGCTACTCGTCACAAAGAACGAAAAATGTAAGACCGAATGGTATGTTACATCTCCAGGCTGAAACTCTTTTGGTTGTCTATGAAATCATAAATCAGCATTACAAAGAGTCGCCCTTTCTGCGCCGGTCAAAAAACATGCCAATTTGTGCCACCGAGTCGTGGAGACGTGCCGGACTTCGTCTGACGGACTTCGAAGGGCTGTATGCATGAATGAATGAATGATTGAATGAAAGAATGAATGAATGAAGGAATGAAGGAATGAAGGAATGAAGGAAGGAAGGAAGGAAGGAATTAAATGAATGAAATGACATGACATGACATGACAAAGAAATGAAATGAACATGAATGAAATGAAATGAAACGAAAATGACAATGACAATGACAATGAAAATGACAATGAAAATGAAATGAAATGAAAGAATGAAAGAATGAAAGAATGAATGAATGACTGAATGAATGCACGAACGAAGGAATGAATGAATGAATGAATGAATGAAAGAATGAATGAAATGACATGATGAAAAGAAATGAAATGAAAATGAAAATGAACTTTCACATGAAATGAAATATGAAATGAAATATGAAAAGAAATGAAATGAAAATGAAAATGAAATGAAAAGAAAATGAAAACGAAAACGAAAATGAAAATGAAAATGGTATGAACATGAATGAAATGAATGAAATGACATGAAACCAAATCAAAATACATGAAATTAAAATAAAATAAACCAAAAAAGAATGAATAAATGAAATGAAATGAAATGTGAATGAATGAATGAATGAATGAATGAATGAATGAACGAATGAATGAATGAATGAATGAAATGAATGAAAGAATGAATGAATGAAATGAAATAGAAATGAAAATGAAATGAATGAAACAATGAAGAAATGAAATGAAATGAGATGAAAATGAAAATGACATGAATGAAATGGGTTTGAAAGAAACAAAAATGAAATGACATGAAATGAAAATGAAAATGGAAGGAAAGGAAAGAATGAATGAATACAATGAAAGAATGAATGAATGAATGATTGAATGAATGAATGAATGAAAGAATGAAAGATTGAATGAACGAAAGATTGATTGATTGATTGATTGACTGGTTGAATGAGTGAATGAATGAATGAATGAAATGCATGAATGAATGAATGAATGAATGAATGAATGAATGATTGTATGATTGTATGATTGTATGAATGTATGTGTGTATGTTTTATGTATGGTTATGTATGACTGAGTAAGTATGTATGTATGTATGTATGTTTGTTTGTTTGTATACTTGCGTATGTAAATGAGTATGTTTATGTATATGTATATGTACATGTCTGTGTGTATGCGTGTGTGTATGCATGTATGTGTGTATGTCGCGATCTGGTCGAAATGTTTTCTTCCAAAAAAGGCTGAAAGTCGTATTCACATGGGGGCCCGCTACAAATTCTTGACTTTTGGCGCACACACACAGCTGGTTAATGAAGGAAGCGTGGACCAAACAAGTATTGGCACCAAAGTGTAAGAGGTGTCACTAGCGCTGCACCGTTTTCAGCTGATCTCCGAGCTTCACGCCATGCTTGAAACAAAAGACTTGTTGGAAGTCAGCTTTGGAAGGGTCCATGGGCTGGCATCTGGCAATGTTTGCTAGCACGGATCTAGCGCAGTGCTAAAGCGCGGCCAGCGCATTTTTTGCGCAGCTACTGTTCAAAATCTGACGACCTTCTGAACATGTCCTAAGTCAAACACTAGCGCAATTCTACCCCAAACCTAGCGCCCAGCTGCAGAATAGGTACGTTTAGCTGGGGGCCGCTACATAATCTAATTGAAAAAACAACATCATAAGCTACTTTCGACCCCTTTATCTATTTTTAATTATAGACTTTGGCCGGACTCCATGTATGTATGTATGTATGTGTGTATGTATGTATGTATGTATGTATGTATGTATGTATGTATGTATGT